GCTCAAATAGTGAAACAGACTTTAACCTTGATCCAGAACTATTAAGAGCTTTAGGTCTTTATTTATGGAAGGTCATTCTTAGATGAAACTGGGCATAAAGGATTTATGTTTGTTATTAAAGGGAGCTGGTAAACATCTTGTCACAAGATTAAAGAGCCGTTGTTTTCAACCACACTGTCTAGACCATTTGACAAAAATGCCGAGGAGAAAAGACCTAAGCCTAGCTTATGTACATGTCAATCTTGTAAAATAAACACAAACAAACTAAAATATCTGTCTAGTTTCAGGCAAAATGTGAATTGCAGTTACCAGAGCTATGCTCAAGGCTGAGATTCAACAGAAAAAAAAAGTATTAACAGTCACTGGGGCATAACGTTCTCGGATACTCACGACAACTCAAGGGGGAGCTGTGAGTTCTCAAGCAGATCTTTTGTCTTTAGTTACAGGATGATGTTCTATACACTTTTTACAGGAAAATAGTTTTAAAAGCAACATGCCAGTCATTTAAGAATTGAAAAATCAAGAAGGATGTTGTATACTGTTGCAAATGAAAAGTAATATGAAGGGACCTGCTGAGAGATGTCACATGCACCAAAAATGCTGTGAAAGACTCTGTATTTTTCCTGGGAAAGTGACAAAAAGCTTTTAGCTTGTTTGCTTACCTTACTTTTGTAGAGGGGAAAACCCCCTGAACCATACTGAAGCATTCAAGAATATTTCTCTTTTTTGCCTCAGGCAGCCTTCTGAGACCTTCCTAGAAAACACCACAGCTAACCAGGTGATCATGGACATCAAACTTGATCTCCTAAAGGAACTATACCTGGCACTGTTTTATCTCACAGCAGGTGCAGTTCACTGGGCACAGTTTTAAGCTGTTTGGGTTTCAGTATGTACCTGCTAGATCCTCTTATTCCTCATGTAATGGGATGATTAATACGTTTTCAAAGTAGTAATGTGGAGTCAGATACCAGTTTATGTTTAGTGTTGTTGTTACATTTCAGAATGGATCCAGTGGTGCCTGGGTTTTCCACTGACTACTTTTTTCCTAAAAGAAAATGTACTGTTAGAAATCAGCATCAGAGTGACCACAGATGTGTACAGATAGTTACATCTATAAAATGTAGAGTTAGAGAAGGTAAAACAAAAACTTTAAATTCTGTGTTCTATCTGGTAGGGTACTCTGAGAATACCTGCTACGCCGTTAAAGGGGCAGTCTGCTTATTGTTCTTGGGAAACAGTGATATCAGCAGTGGTATTATCATCCCAAAGGATCACATGCTTCAGACAGATGGGTGACATCCCTTTACAGGGATGGTACAGGAGGGAAGGAAGGGATGCTTTTATTTGCTCTTTTTTCCATGGGTATCTCACACAGGTGAGACACATACTGAGATGCCAACGGAGCCCCAAAGATAGCAGCACAACAGGAACTGTTACACTTTCTCCTTCCTAACAACAGCAGTGTGGCCCATGAATCAATGCAACGTGACATCTTATGAACTCCACATTTGCAGTACATTTTAGTTATCACTAGTGATGTTTTTATAATTGCATATTATGTTAATTTTCACTGTTAATCTTTTGCTTGTGTTATGTTTGGCTAGGAAAGGAAGATATGTGTGGGACTGTGCTTTTGAGCTTCTGGCTGGAGCCATCTGGAACAGGTTATTACATCATTCATGTTACGAGATGGCAATTACAATTCAGACACGGAGTGAAGCAGACCTCACCTGATAGCATGAGGTAGTCTATCTTTGAAAAGGAGAGGGAACCCTCCCCAAACACTAAGAGTTTGCAATTGGGATTGTCTTGGGAGGTGCAAGAAACAAGCCCTACTGTTTTTCCAGGCAGAATTAGGGTTTGAGACCAAGTTTCCTATGTGCTCAGTGGCAGTAAGGTGAGATGTGTGTAGTTCAAATCACTGCCTGTCATGGGTTATATCAATGTGTGACAATATAAAAAAACCTGCTTATTTGGCACTCTCCAAGAAGACTTAGATCAATCTCCATAGTCAGGTGAAAGCCAAACTTGTGGCCCTGTGAATCTCATGGTGCTCTCAAAATGCAATTGTTCCTGCAAATGCCCAAGTCTTGTTTTACCAGTTTTGCTGGTAGAAAATTTGTTTCCATATGGTTTAGTAGGAGCAAAATTGATGTTCTAAGCATCTAAAGCTTGGACATAGTCCTTTAAGGTGTCAGTTATTGGCAAAGTCCTTTAGTGAATTCAGGTCTGTATGGCTGTGTAAAAGATGTCTAAGACTTGTCACTTCCAATTACTTTGGGCACGCACACGTATCACCATACAGGTCTGTGTGATTTGACTCTGATCCTGCAGCTTGATAATGCCCTTGAGAATATTCAGAGAGAGTGATCTTTAAAAGATGACAAGAACATCTAAGAATAGTGTTTGGCAGATATAGTTCTGGAGAACTGTATGTATAATTTCAGATAGAATTAAAAAAGGAGATGAAGTGTTGTAAAAGTTCGTAGATGAGGACTTCTTTTTGTGAAGCAGACTTTTTGTTCAGGAGTGCTGGGTGTAGCTAACTCTTATTGTGTTCCCTGACCTAAACACAGCTTTTGTACATACTTCTAACTTCAGCATTCAGAAACCATTAGATTATGTTCTCCAGTGCTGAAAGTCTCTGCTAACCAAGGGTGGTGCATTATCTGCAGAAGCATGGTGTAATTCATACATTCAGTTGTCTCATCCAAGGAGGGCAGAGTTAAGGTTACATGACATAGCTCATGCCCCTTATGATTATATATTACACAATTTTGAAAATCCAAGTCTCAAACATAATTAAAGCTATAGTTTCAACCCTAGCTATGCACAAATCAAACTTGTAAGAACATACTTGGTTATTTAACAAAGCCCCATTTTATGCTGTGTACTGTTCTGCATCTCTTCATGAAGACAAAGAAAACGTCAAGGTAATCTAAACAAACTAGTGGATTTTATAACACGGGGGCATAGTTGAGACCACTGAAGTGAGAGTGCTGCTAGACCTGAAGTTTAGCCACCATCCTAAGCATAAATGGTAAAGGTGTCAGCAGATGGTGTTGAAAGATATGTTGAACTGTCAGTGTTTTAATAGGATGAACAGAAGGGTTTTCATGTACCACAAACATCTTCCTTTGTGCAACTCTTCATATCAAAGAGTTGTGAGAAGGGTGTGACTGCATCTCATTATTTTCTGGCTGATGGTAGTTCCAGAAAGGTGCTGCAGAAATTCCACTTAGCCATAACATCAAATCCTTTTATTTAGGAAAAAAGAAGTCACCACACTGTAAACTAGCCCAGGCTGTGGTTTGGTACACTTTTTATACTCTGGTTTTTATCCACTCCAGCTGTCAGATGGAGACAGGAAAAATCAAAACATTTGTACAGTATTCCTTCTTAAGAGAGCTCCATAGGTGGTCAGGTCTGGATCCACCTCCTGTCTCCAGCATGGAGCATCTGTGCCAGTTGGCTGCTGAATCAGAACTCTTCAGTCTGAAGCAATTCTTGGGGTGCTGTGCTCATATGGTGATTCTGGCACACCTACAATGATTTTACCATGTGATAGTGAGAAAGATTCAATGGATCAGCAAGTAAGTATCAGCAAGCTCTTCATCCACATGAATGGATGCTCAGAGCATCTGCTTTGCTGAAGAGCTGTTCCTCATAGTTTCAGCAGATCTTCACACACCTAATGTACAGTAAGCTCTGCTACTTTTAGACTTTGTTAGCTCTCCAGATCATTGAGTTTATTGAGAAACACGAAGCTTATGGAGTAATGAGAATGCTCACTGTTAACCTTTTGCCACAATGAAAATTTGCCCAGTCTTTGCTTTCTATCTCTTGCCTGTTTTCTGACCTATGACAGAACTTTCCTCTCACAACATGTGCGGCAAGCTTCTTCAGAAGTCCCTTGTGTGAGTTTTTGTTAAGCTTTTGGGAAGTCTATGTAAAATAAGTTCATTGGTTCTCGTTTATCTGCAAATGTATTGATGCTGTTTGAATAATTCTAGGAGAGTGTTTAATTTTTTTCCATGCAATGCAAGTGATGTGAGCAAGTCACTGAGAGACAAACTGTCAGAAATAACAATGAGCATCTGGTGCTGTCATTTTTGAAAAGTAATTTGGACAATTACAGCCAGTTACTGATGTACAGAGCTCTTCCACTTTCTATTGGCACCAATATGACTTGTGGGTGCTCAGCAACCCTGAAGCAGCCCAATCTTTGTATCTCAAGCTGTATATCCATGCACAGAGGCCAGTTTTATGAGTAGCTGTTATAAGAACTCTGTTTCTCAAGATGTTATAGAGGTGCTCCTTAGGAATAAAAGGTTTCCTCATCTGGAAGACTCCACAGAAATTCGAAGTATTCATTTAATGTCTGTGTTTAATTTCAGTGTTCATCTTTGGATCTAGCATAATCTTTGCAGCATCTGATTGCTTACCTCTCACATCTCATAAATGTTCTGCTTGACCTACTAAAGCTCTGCCTATGGCAAAGTTGCAAAACACCTGAAAAAGTACTTTATTTCCTTCCTCTCCAATCATAACTGGAGATCTGCAAGATACGTCTTTCCTGAGAAAGATTTCATTTCACAAACCACTCCTTTAAGCGTGGGGTCAGTTTAAAAAGGGCCAGTGTTTGTAGACAAGCCATTTGTTATCCTTTGAGCATTTAATTTGTTTATTCCTGTTTTCAAATAATCCCCAAGCAATGTAGTTCCTGTAGCTGTGATCGTCATGAATTCAAGTTATTCACCTCCCAGAGGGTCAGACCTTTCATCAGTATGCCATTGGCACGAAGCAGCAAGTGTTGCATATTCATCGTCCGAGACACCGGCTAGAGGCCTCCAAAAAGCCTGATTTTTTTTTTTTTTTTTTTTTTTTTTTTTGTTCTCAGAGCAAGGAAAACAATCCCTTCCCTTCTCTAGTCCCTTGATAAGGGTTTCTGTCCAATAACGGTGCTCTCTGCTCTGAGGCACATTTAACTGTGAAGTTTGCAGCGGGAGAGGCTTTCCTTCAAGCTGTTAGTGTTTTATCCTGGCAGGCTCCTCGAGGTTGTTGTGAGGAGTCTAGCCAGTTGGTGAGCTTTGTAATCTAAACCAGCTGTCCCAGGCTGAGGCCCCCATTTGCATTGTTTAACATACTTAGAAAATGAAGTGTTCATTTTTAACATTCCTCCTCCAATTGGTTTAATGCTGAATTACAGAAGAGAACTAAGCAAAACCAGGTGCTTTCTCTGTGTTCTCTCCAGTGTCTGAGGAGGTACAGACGGCTCCCGATCTTCTCCATTACTTGCTATTTCATTCTTTGGACTATAAATGACTGAGGAACTGAAGTGCTAGCAAAGGGTAATGCTTGGAAAAACTTTCTAGTTATTCATCAGCACAGACTGGTTTTTTTTCCACCTTTCCCCAACGGTTTTGGACATGCAAGGATTAAAAAGGTAAGTGGTATGCATGCAACTTCTTTACTTACTGAAGGGAAACCTACTTGTGGAAAATATCTGTGGCAGGGATTCAGTATGCCAATCCACTTGCTAAAGCCTTTTGCTAAGAGCTGGGATCTTAATGGTCAGAGATGGGGAAAGATGATCTGTCTGTTATTAAAGCTGTGCTGTCTCTGATGAGTTCCTTCTTGATCTGTGCTTATACTCTGTGCTTTAGGAACCCCGGCATCCGCAGGGGTGCTGAATTGCGACAGCAAATGATCCCACTGGCTACAGTGATTGATTTGAAGCTAATTAGTTACTACTGCAGAAGTTAATTACTAATTTAAAATATTTTGCCTGCTGGGCAAGCTACTGTGACCAGCTGAATATAGTGTTGATAGATTGTGCTGCTTGTCTGTTAATAATTCTCGAGGGGATCTGAGATCTAAAGTAGCAAGCAAATTGAGATGGTGGTTGCAGGCAGAACACGTATGAGGCAGTAAGGTCACCCCCGACCAAGAGGAAAGAATATATCATCTTGTAACAACAGAAGCTAAAGACTGTCTAGAAACATATGAGTTTTGTCTGACTGGTTTTATAGGGGATTTTGTTAGCGTGCAGTGCTCTGCAATAACGTAGAGTGTAGCCCAGTTGCTAGGTACATTAACATTCAGCTGTAACCTGTTGTATTTCCTCCTAGTGCTGCTCTTGCTGCATGCAAAATGAGTATGCAGTCTTTATACCAGTGCATGCTTTAAAATCTCTTTAAAAATCTTTGAGGAATCAATAAATGAAGTGCAAGCCTAGATGGATAACTATATTTTTAATGCTTTGCATCGGACTCTGAAGAAAAGTCTGTGCAGAATTTGCTTTTCTTTGTCACTCAAAAGCTGCCAACAAGCACAATCTGTCTCAGCAGTACCATGAACAACCATTTTAGGGTTTACATTTACTTTTCAGAGTTTGTGCCTGTCTCCTCATTTAAAACAAATTTGTTCAAATGTGTTGGTCACTGTTTGTATATGGTTTTGTCTTATGCATTTGTAGGTCTCGTTTAGCAGCTCAGTTTGCACTGCAAATCAGAGACAGCTCTAAGAGAGAAAGTTGGCAGCTTGCTTGGATAGCAGAATGAAGGCTACCTAAAATATCCCTTGCTTCCTGTACTGGTTTTGTGGGAATGTATTGTATACAATTGCCATTGAGAACTAGAATCCAAGATAAGCAAAAATGTGGGTCTTACTGTATTGAGAGTAAATTTTATATAAGGCAGCAGCAAAGCACTGAAATCCATAGTACATTAAAAAAAAAAAAAAATTCTTACTGTCCTTTCCTGGTTTTCTGTCTGTTCATAAATACCTGGGGGTGGGAGCTTAGTTGACCAGAATTTTCATGCTCCAGGTAAGGAGTTCCAAACACAGCCATAGAGCTCTGTTAGCAAGGAATCCTCTTTCAATTGCAGTGAAGAGACCCAGTATGCTGAGATGATATAACTGAGGAAGGCTCCATCAGAGATAGCAACTTCTAGTAGCTGATGACCTGGCAGTGTGTCTACTTGCAGAGCAACGTGTTAGTCAAGTCTGAGTAAAGGGACAGGATCTTGCTCTAAGAAAATGGATTCATTTCAAATATAGTCTCCTGGGGATGAAATGCAGTTTAGCGGTTAGAGCAACTGGCTTGGATTCAAGACCTCCTGCATGACATGTCTGCAGCCCTGCCAATGCATTGCACTGTGAGCTTAGGCGGGGCCTGTGCTTCTGGTTTACCCATCTGTAAAATGTGCATAATGTGCAAGAAAAACTTTGATATTCTCAAAATAAATATGCCAGAGAGGGGCAAAAATACTTTATTAAATATTACGCACTTGTTCATTAAGCAGCTGCTGCATGGGGTATCATAAAAAATAGATTAGTTAATAGACATGTTCAGTCTGATTCTGATCCTAGTTGCATAGAACCATAGTTAAATTAGTGACTCTGAGATCTGAATGTGGCCCACAGTTTTATTATTCCTTCTCTAGAGGCCAAATTCATGTTAGCAAATTTCTGTGGAATACGCTGAAGTGTCACTAGAAATTAATTTGTGCATGTGTATTTAACTGTATATAGTGAGCCTGGATATCAGAAGGTTTTCAGCCTATTTTCTATGCACATTACAGGATACTGACTGCTTTCACACTGGCCGTCTGCCTTTCAAGCCCTGGAAAAACACAGGTGAGAGGTGCACAGAGAGATATGTGTACTGTTTTGTACCAAAGTGCTACATGACATGAGACTTAACTGGCTAGCAGGTGAAGAGGAAGCTCTGTGGTCTGGGGTTTACATGAAAAGGAAGCTGTGTGGTCTAAGGGTTTAGAGAGGAGAGCTTAGAGCCAGCAGGATTCTGGAGCTGAACATGGACTGAGCTTGTTGACTCATCCTTGCCAGCTCAGCAAAATATCCCTGTAGAAACCTGGATCTCACTGAAGACCTGATTCTGCCTCTGAACTGAACAATTCTGGAAAAGGAAGTAAGAAAAGCCATCCCACGAGAGTAAGGACAACTCAGTTCTGTGGTGGGGAATATCCATGTTTGGAAAACTTATTAATATAAATAGGTATTTTCTGTGTATAGCAGAATCTTTTCTTAAGACTGTTTAATTTTAGACTGTGATCCTGAATGACTGCATCCTAGTTTTCATTTTAATTTGTGCCCAAAAACCGTTTTTGTTCAAGAGGCAGGGCTTTTGAGGGTGGATGGAAGTAAAGCAGTCTAGTTCTTGAAATAGCAGAAACATTAGTTCTTTGTGTTCTTGGGCTCCAAGTGGACTTTAAATTAGGAAAAACAGTTCCCAAAGGCATGTTAAATTTGAATTCCTAGTTGATAATCCAGAAATATTCAGTGTCCAGAGCTGTGTTTCTAAATACCTTTGCCAAAAGGCTCTGAAATGTAGTTACATTGAAAATTTCCTGCACATAGCATGCTTATTGATATTTTTGTGAACATTGGATCTGTATGGGAAATGCTTTTCATGCCCCTGGAGGATTTTTGAGATGTCTTTAAAGATTTGTTTTTACAATTTAAAAAATATTGTTTCCATTGCTGTTTTTATAAAAACATCTTGTACTGTAAATTGATTTTGAAGTCTAAGCAAAAAGCAACTTGAAACCAAGATGAGAGCAACAAATTCTTTCTGAAGATATTGAAACTGGGAATTTCAACAATATTGGAATCTTTTCTAGAATTAAGTTCTAGAAAGTTGTTGAAACCAGTTCTATAGTAATTTCAGTGTTTCTCAATCATCGTTTACTATGCAAAGGAAAATAATTTTCTTAAAAACTATGTTAACTTTTCCTACTAACCTAAGCGTAGTGTATACGCCACAGCACAGAAAAGAACAAAAAGTAGAGTACGTACATTCTTTAAAACATGAGGCTGATTATGCATTCTCCTGACAGAATATCTTGGCTTTCCACAGCATGATACCAAAACATGTTGGAATGCCAAAATAAATGAAGGAGAGCAGAATTCCTTCATAGTCGTTTCACACTTCTAGTGGTGGTTTTGTGTAATCATGTGTGCAAGTGGCAGGTGCAGTCCAAATAGTGTCATATGTTTCACTGCATGTCCCCTCCCTAGTTCCTGCAATGACCCGCTTCCACTGCCTCATCCATCTCACCCCTTGTCTCCCATCTACAACGTAACACTTTTCCAAACACAAACCAAGTACTTTACTCTTTCACTGTCTGCTTCCACAAAGTCCTAAAATAAGTGTCTTTATCATTTTACAACAACAAAAAAGGAAGAATCTTGAACACACTCCATTCCTCTGCTCTCTGGTTACTTCAGTGGTTCCTGTTTTCTGAATATCTCTTGCTTACATTCTTTAGTATAACCTATTGACTGGCAGGACCTGGTCTGTTGCTTGGTCTGTTGCTAAATATCTGGAGTCCCAGATGAAAACTAGGGAGAGCAGGGAATCATTTTGATGGGCTTTGACACAGTCATAACTAGGACTGTTACTGTTTTAGAAATGCTGGGGGTCACTGATGGGGTGCTGAGGACTCCAGGTTGCAGCTTTGACAAAGACGAGGGCTGTAGGATAGGAAGGAACAAGTGACTCTGCAAGCCTAGAATGTGTCATGTAAAGATTTATCCTCTAAAAGTCAAAAGATTTAGTGTAAAGTAAAAGCCTTACTTTTATTAAGCCTGTTATGTTTTAACTATGGCTTCAGTCAGATGATTAACATGTTGAGACATATGTACTGAATTGTCTATATGTGGCATTTTAGAGCCTCTTAGAGAAGTTAGCTAGTACCTTTTAACTGAGCCTCCCTGTTCTGGCAAAAAAAGGACTCCAAAATAAAAGAATGTACTTCTGTGTTAACAACTGGTGTGGAGCCCATTGCGCACTCTGTGTTGGTTACCCCTGGGGAGCTGAACAGCCTGACAATGTCACCACCTGAGGGAAATACCTTCTGAGATAAGGGGCTGGCATGCGTCTCTGGTTCATGCCTTGCTGATTGTCCTTTGGGGAAGGGACTTTATTTTGGTGTACTGTATAGTGATGAACAATTGTACTAAGCATAATAGTCCGATGAGCATTTGACTCTGCAACCCTCTCATTTCACAGTCATTGAGTATCCTCTGTTTTCTCATTTTAGCAACAGTGCACTAATGGGTTTGACCTGGACCGTGCCTCTGGGCAATGCTTAGGTAGGACTTTAATTAAATAAATACATTTAAATTGGGGGTCAGAAATCCTGACTTTATTGAGTTAACATTGTGCTTCTGTTAGCATGTTTTAGTTGAAAAGTTCTTGCTTTGTGACAAATACGTGTGTTTGTGTATACGTATATACAAAAATGTATATGTATATATATGTAAATATGTGTGTGTGTTTACATAGCACAAGTATATACCAATCTTTGACATTGTTGAGATACTGACTGGCCGTCAGTTCTTCTCAAGTAGCTTTGACGAGTTGAGATGAGTTTGGGAGCTCAGTCTAGTTGCCAAATGAAAAGGGTTGTTCACCCTTCTCTTTCTCCTCCAGAGTATTTACTGTTTGTTGCCAGCCTCCACCTGGAGGCTCCAACAATATCTACCACTACTTAGGGCTGAAACTCCAAGTAAATTGTTGAGGCAACATAGGGAAGCCCTATAACATCTTTCTGTCAATGATATTCAGTCTCCAGGGCAGCACCTTCTGTGTGCATTAAAATCACTCAAACAGGGAGGGAAAAACCAGCACAGATTGCTTGCCCTGTCATAGCGACCTGCTGCTTCTGTGCTCTGAGAACCAAGCGAATGCTCATTTTGGCTAAACCATTTGTATCTTTCGAAATTTAATTCAGCAACTATCTCAGTCAGAGCAAGAGAGAGGACTGAACCAGGTCCCCAGACCTGAACATCCCTAACTTTTTCTGTGGGAGGGAGCTCGGGAGTTCCAAATCAGGATCCAAGTTTCACAGCTGGGCAAACCAAACCACCAGTGTTTGAAATCCTGATCTGCATGTTGTGGTTTGGACAGACCCTCTAGCAGGAACAGGCGTTAGCATGCTGTAGCCATGTGTAAATCAGTGTTTAAACTGAACATTTATAGAATAAGAAAGCAGGCTTTTCCCTCTCCCTCTACTCTCTAGTAGTGAAGTAAATCAAGTAGAACATAGTGAGGCTCCACAAGGAAGGATTAGCTTTTCCTTTCAAATAAAGTATCACATTTTTTAGCAAAGTCTTGAGAAAAACATGTTAACTATTTTTTATATATGTATCTCATTTAGAAGCAATAGCTTATTTAACTTTTGCAATTTCCTTCCAGATATTGATGAATGTCGGACTATTCCCGAGGCCTGCAGAGGAGATATGGTGTGTGTCAACCAGAATGGTGGCTATTTATGCGTACCCCGAACAAATCCAGTGTATCGGTCACCATATCTGAATCCTTATTCAAATATTTATCCACCACCTCCAGCACCAGGCCCCGTTCCCAACTACCCAACTGTTACAAGACCTCTGATGTGTCGATTTGGTTACCAGTTGGATGAAAACAATCAGTGTGCTGGTAAGTAGTAGATGTCTTTATTCTATATTCTTTTTAAAAAAAATACTGTATCTGAAATCTTGTCCAACATTGGAGAAACAATAATCCTACAATTGTCCTTTAGTTATTGTATCACTCAAGCCCAGTCTTTTGAAGTTCAAAGGTTCTACTTTTTCAAAAGGATGTGAACTCTACATTTCATATAGTCATTATTCAATGCAAGCTAAGGTTTGATTTAGCCCTATTATTTAATCAGGAAACCCACTTTTATGAGAGAAGTAATGTTTTTATGAGACAAACAACCATCTGATGGCAGGTGATTTGTCAGTACATCAAAGGCATGCCTTTTATGCTTATGATTCTGTCCTTGAGAGAGAAGATAGATGGGCCTCCATTTGAAGCGTGAGGCGGGGACTGAGGAGACCTTGGTTCAGTTCTTCGCGGTATCTGACCTTGTTCAGATTTCTGAACCTTGGTCTTCCTCCTTTAAATGGTGTTAATAAGAGTTGTTTCCTCCCATGCTTTGCATTCTTCACTTAGCCTGTGAACTCTCTGGAGCACATACGTTGCTTATCTGGAAGGTGGTACACAACTTAGCACTACCATTGCTTTAATGACTGTAGACTTCAGCTGAGACTGGAACTCCCTTGTTTGAGGCACTGCACAAACACACAGGGAAAGAATCGCTGCACTAGCAGAACATTGACATTGTCTTAGCACCTTGATATTCCTCAGTCTCCAATACAAAAACCAAATAATGCTATGAAAAATTTATTGTATTGGTAGTTTTTCTACTTTTGCATCTTTTGCTAGATTCTGATTCCACTTACTTCATGTTATACCGTGTTTAACTTGGATATAAGCTTGGATATAAGTATACTGTGTTACTCAAATTTAAGGGAGATTTCGAGTATATCCCTTTGGTTTGCTTACTTTTGATAATGTCATGTTATGAAGGAATGGAGAGAAAATTTCTGAACTAAATTAAAGTGAATTCCACTGGCCAAAATATTTATTTTGATGCCAAACTTGGAATCAAGAGATCAGGATGAAACTGATCATTGGCAGCTGCTCAGGGTAAATGCTGGAGATGTAGCCCACAGGTCTACCACAAAGTTAATCTATAACCACTACTTATTTCTGTGTCTCAGTTGTCCTAATAGTAAAGTGATTATTTATCTGTTGTTATATGTAGCTAATTGTCTGAAGGTTTTTATTAAAATCTTTTTTGAAATAGGACTGGTCTTTTGACAAAAAAAGCCAACCCAAACTACAGAAGATACTGAGCTTTCAATAGAGAATTTTGCCTGTCTGTAGACTAAGGAATTGCATTTGACTCACAACATCTCTTTTTTTGAACTCTGCTGCAGAACAACACAAGAGATAAAACTGATTTGTCTTTTGGGCTGATTCTGCCATATTGTCTGAAATTTCTGGCAGGACTTGATTTCAGATGATGCACTTTCTTTGCTTCCCTGGTGAGGAGACCGTGATGCTTCATGGGAGCTGTGAGAGTCTAGACTTAAATTCAGCTACTTTGGGGTGCATTTTTCTGTATTTGAATCATAGCTGTCATTATGTTCCAAGGTGGGGAAAACATATTCTCTAACCAGTGCTAGTAGTAATACCTACTGGAAAATTTAAAAACTTGGATTTTTTAATCAGGAGTTTTGAAATCCTGGGATAACAGCTGAGTTTGCTGTAAAAATAAGCATATATACTATCTGGTCCTTTGAAAACTGCAACTAGTCCTTCTGATCTTAGCAAATTGATCAACCTCAGTTATTTTATCTAGTGATTTGTAGGCTTCCAGGAGTATTTTCATTTTGCTAACTTTGATGTAGCTGAATCAGGAAATGGGGAAGTTAGTTGAAAAGAAGTGCTGAAATCAAAGAGGAAATGAAAGCCCTATATTTTACTCTCTCTGGCCTGCTGCACGCGAACCATAGCAATCAAAACAGGTGGATTTTGGAAACTTTTACAGTGAACTTTCCAGCCTGCAAAGGGCATATATGTTCCTATCCACGCTGGCAGAAATGTGAGGGCTAATGCTTTCTTCAGTCAGGGCTGTTCACTTCTGTCACTTTAACTTTCAAATACGGGAATTTAATTATGAGGGGAAGTTTAGTGAATAGAGACATAAACAAGAATAGATGGGAAAGGACTGACTGTCACTTGAGTACCTCAGTTACCTGGAAGCAGTTTTTGAAAGTCTACATCAAGTTTGAATTTAGGCAGATGATGGATCATATTTGTGTTAGAGGAAGAAAAACAAAACTTAAGAAAACAAGACCTGTCAGAGTGAAGGTGTATCTGCTGGGATTAGATTTTATTTTTCTTTTAGTGAAATCCTCTGGAGACCTTCGCTGTCTTGATGTGGTATTTCTTTCTGTATCTGTCTGCCCTAAGATGGAAAGTGTGAGCACCAAGGGAAGTGGTTTGAGTACGTCTCACTGCAGTGGTGGTAGGAAGGACTGATCCCCTGTCTCCAGGTCTTCTGCTGCAGTTAACAGGGATTGATGTGCAGCCTTGAGCTTGAAGGTCTTGGAGATGAAGCACCAGGAAACCTTGACAGGGTCCTCAGAAACCACCAAAGTTTCACTCAGGTCATTCAAGAAAGTCTGAATTGCATGAGTCATGGCTCTGTCTTATTGAAGTTAATTATAAGCATTGCATCATGTTAGTATTTCAGTTGCTCTGTGCTTCCCTGCTTGTCAGTGTTCAGCATGCTCATAGGATACAAAGCCCTTCAGGGGTTAATTTTGTGATGGAATGCCTGAAAAGAGTAAACTGGAAGCTATTTTGCCCAGTAGCTGAGAGACTATATAACTTACAGGTTTGTTATGCTGGTGTTCTGGCACCACCTTCCAGCACCTTCTTTCCAAATAAAATTAGTCACAGGTATTTCCATTAGAGATGATGAGACTTTTTGCTATTGTTTTCAGGGGAACCAAAGCTATTCTAGTGCCAATGTTTCTGAGAAATCTCCAATTTTTAACAGAGTACACATTTTTGTCTGGTCAGATATGGGGTTACAGGTCTGGGCCATATTTTCTATAGCTAGGCCAACAGAAATCTTTACTTTCTCTTTGAATTCCAGTTGAAACAGCTTATTAAACACAGGAACCTCCCCTGGGAGATTTACAGCCTCAGCTCTGAGGCACTGAACTTGTTCAAGAGACTTACAAAGTGAAACAGGATAAAAATTTTATCTGAAAGCTGCATGAAACTTAACAAGTTTTTTGTTGTTTTTTTTTTTTAATCCCCCCCTTTGCCAGAGCTGACAGAAACATGGGAAGGCTGTGAGAGGGTGGCTCTGTCCCAGCCTGGCATCTGGCCTGCCTGCCAAGGCTCCACATTCCCTGGTTCTCAGAGCAATGTGCACCCTGGGTGGTTCAAATAGCATTGCCCCTCGTGGGGGCTGATATATTCCAACACAGCAGAAAAAAAAAATAAAAAATAAGCCATTCTTCTCCCTTTCAAGCTTTTTTGGCCTCATCCTTTCTGACCTAGATGGTCATAGAGAGGGGTTAGGTGTCCACGCTCCTTCCTCATCCTCTTCACCACTCAATCTTAACAAGACTCTCTTATCTCCAGATCTCATCCTTTGTGAAAGCAAAACCTTTCCTGGCACAAGTGCCTCTCAAAGACACCTGCTATTGACCACTTTGCCCACTCCAGTATCTTCTGTGTGGTGGAGAAGTAGCTGTAGCCATTTGTGGCAACAGGCAGAGGAATATTTTAATGATAATTACTTTTTAAATCTTCCGTGGCTTTTGATACATGGTATTTTTACCCCTGGGGTTGCTGAATGCTTTATATCTTGTATGTATAAGTGTACCAAGTCTGTGTAAACTCATTCCAAAGCAGGCTGGGAATTATTTATGACCACAATTAATACTGGAATAAAAGACCACATACAGGAAAAAGCAAAGAACATCTAGTGCAAGAGCACTGCTTGAACTGTTTGTCTTCTAACGCTACTTCTCTATAAATACAGATGGTTAGTCATAATAATGACTTTTTGTTCAAGGAACTTAGTCTAGTAACTGTTGGCAAGATTAACCTGGAGTGAGGGCCCATGTTCTTGCATTATACGTTCGTAAGCTGAGAGCTCTTTCCAATTTCCCTTCACTCCACCTTACTATTTCCTGATTTACAATGATTTTTAAAACACGCCTCAAGCACAGATCCTTCTGGGCATTGTGGAAAGAACTGTAATGGGTGGGCTCTTTATTTTTGCTTTCTCTCCCATTAATGCACATGCACAATGTGAGGAGATGATGAGGGTAGGGAGGCATCTAAGAGGGCCAAAGGGAGGGATCAGAGAAAGCAAACCATAAAGACAAAGTAGATGCTAGGAAAGGTATAAGCATAAGGCAAGATAAGTATGACCTAGAGGCAGAAGGGAGGAGGCCACAGGAGTTAATAAATATGGTGGGTTGACCCTGGCTGGATGCCACTCTATCCCTTCCCCTCCCCAGCTGGACAGGTGAGAGAAAATATAATGAAAGGCTCATGGGTCAAGATGAGGACAGAGAGAGATCATTCACCAATTACCATTGTAAGCAAAACAGACTTGACTTGAGGAAATTAGTTTAATTTATTGCCAATCAAAATCTGAGGAAGATAATGAGAAAACAAAACCCAAATCTCAAAACACCTTGTCCCCCCCACTCTCTCCTTCCCAGGTTCCCTCCTCTGGGAGACAGTCCTCCATGAACTTCTCCAACATGAGTCCTTCCCACACTGCTCCTGTGGGTCCTTTCCATGGGGTGCAGTCCTTCAGGAAGGGACTGCTCCAGTGTGGGTCCCCCCACGGGGTCACAAGTCCTGCCAGCAAACCTGCTCCGGCGTGGGCTCCTCTCTCCACGGGCTACAGGTCCTGACAGGAACCTGCTCCAGCGCGGGCTTCCCACGGGGTCACAGCCTCCTTCAGGCACCCACCTGCTCCACTGTGGGGTTCTCCACGAGCTACAGGTGGTCATCTGCTCCACCATGGACCTCCATGGGCTGCAGGG